AGACTGCAAAGCCGTTTGAACTGTGAGGTTGGCGGTTCAAGCTCACCAGCTGCTCTTTGGAAACTCTATACAGGTGCACTACAGGTTGGAACCGACTCAATGGCACTTAACAACAACAACAACATCCTAATTATTATGATATTAAAAACCAGTTTCTGCCAAGTTGATTTTAATTCATGGCAAACCTATGTGTGCTAATGCAGAACTGGGCTCCATAGCATTTTCAGTGACTCATTTTTCAGAAATAGACAGACAAGGCCTCTCCTCTGAGTCACGCTTTCTGGGTGGACCAGAACCTCCAACATTTTGTTCAGCAGCCAAGGTGCTCACCACCCAAGACTTCCACTATGATATTAAAACATCAAGTAAATCACTATGCAAATGTGGACACTTAATAGATTATCTGTTAAGTGCCGTTGAGTCGGTTCTGACCCATAGTGACCCTGAACAGGGTTTCCGAGGCTGAAAATCTTTACGGGAGCAGAAAGCCTAATCTTTCTCCTGCGGAGCATCTGCTGGTAGTTTCGAACTGCTGACCTTGCGGTTCGCAGCCCGATTCGTAACCACTACGCTACCAGAGTTCCTTGTCAGTGTATATTTCCTTCATTTATTTATTAGTAAAATAACAACAAAAAAAGAATAAGAAAGTAGGGTGCCTCACACTTCCCAATCTCAAAAAATAATAGACAGCCCCAGTGTTCAAAACAGCCTACACGGTATTGGTAGACACATAGACCAATAGAACAGAATAGAAAACATAGAAGTAAATCCATCCACCTATGGATAGCTAATCTTGGACAAAGCATCAATACCCATTAAATGGTGCTGAAATGGTTGAACACTGACCAATTACTTTTAGTACAGCGACTGTGTATTCTTTCCATCTTCTTTTGATGTTCCCTGTATCATCAAATACTTTGCCAGTAGAATTGTTCAATATTTCATATTGAGAAATGTAAAGACCCGAGAGTTATGGGATGACATCAAGAACATCACCTGAAGAAAGCAAAAGGTCTTAAAACAGACCTAAGTGGATGTCAGCAGAGACTCTACAACTTGCTCTTGAGCTTAAGTAGAGAAATTAAACCAACTTAAAAAAATGATGAAGTAAAAGAGTTGAATAGAAATTTTCAAAGGGCAGCTTGTGAAGACAAGGTCTAGTATTATAAAGAAATGTGCAAAGACTTTGGATTTACAAAACTAAAAAGGAAGAATACACTCAGCATTTCTAAAGCTGAAAGAATTGAGGAAAAACTTCAATGTTCAGGTTGTAATATTGAAGGATTCTACAGGCAAAAATATTGAATGATGCTGGAAACATGAAAAGTAAATGGAAGGAATTCAGAGTCACTACCAAAAAGAATGGATGCTATTGTTGCTTCTCTGTTAGAAGGACTCCCTAAATCATTTCTTGTAAGGTTGGTCTGGTTACAAATCTCCTTAACTTTTATTTATCTAGAAACATCCTAGTTTGCCATCATATTTGAGGAGTACCTTTGCTGGATATGTTGTTCTTGGTATGAATTTTTTTTTTTTCCTTTCAGGACGTTATATATGTTATTCTGCATGGTTTCTGTCAAGAAATAAAAGCTGAATCTTATTGGTCCTTCTTAGTAAGTAACTTTTTCTTTGGAGCTGTTTTCAGGATTCTTTTTTTGCCTTTAGTTTTAGAAAGTCTGATTATGACAGGTTGTGGCATTTTTCTTTGGGGGTCTGTAACTTTTGGTGTTCTTTAAGCTTCTTGAATGCATTATCCTCTCACTTTTCATGATACTATGGAAGTTTTCTTCCAACAAATCTGAAAACGTTTTTTTCAGTGTACTCCCATTCTGTAATTCTGATCACACATAAATTACTCCTCTTGCTGGTGTCTCACTAATTTTCAGGCTTTCTTTCTTTTTTTTCCCAATTGTTCCTCTGAAAGATTAATCTTCAATGTTGCTTATTGTGTCTCCCTATGATTCCATTCTACTTCTTTATCCATCTAATGTGTAATCTTCTAGATTTTTATTTGGTCCTTTTGTGTGGTTTCTAATTTTCCACAAATTTTGTCAATTTGTTCTTGCCTTTAAAAAAAAATATTCTGGACTTTTGTCTATGTTTTCTTGATTTTGCCTACAGTATCCTTTTAACTGTCACGTAATCTCCTGATATTACCTAAATATGTTCTTTTGAATTCCTTACCTGGTATTTCCAATAGCATTTCTTCCTCCAGGAGGTTTTGTATTTTGGCCCTATATTTGGGTCACTAGTTTGAGTCATCTTGTCCTGTTGGATATTTATTTGGTGATTTGAAGTTGTCTGTTTTCTTCAAGTTAGTATAGTGTGTATTCATTTGGTGATTACATGTGAATTTGTGGCAGCCTGATTTCTTGTTTTGTTTTACTATCTCTGGGCTACAGTGAGCGTACCGTATAGTCACTAGTCTGGCACCATCAGCCTTGGATACATTTGATCGTGATGAAGTGTAGGTGTGAATCTCTGACCACATCCCATACACAGCAATGAGGGCAGTCTAGGCATGTGTGGGCTGCTGTCTGTCATTGATCCAGTAGTGCTGGAGTAGATGGCGGCCCTCGTGCAGTGGGTGGGGTGACAGGTGTGATGGTAACAGCTCAGTAGAGTCATTGGAAACAGAAAAAAAGGTGGGGGAGGAGAAAGTAAAAGCAAAATGAGAGATATGCAAAAAAGGGAAAAACAGACAAAGAAAGAAAAAAACCCAAACCAAACAAATACAGCACTGTTTTGGTGCAGCCACCCAACAGCTTTGGTGGAAATGTGGTTCTTGCATCACGGGAGCAGGGACTACTGAATGCAGAGGTAAGCGGTAGGTACTACCAAACATGGGATTCACGGGCTGGACATCTATTCAGACAGATAAAAAATAAATAAATAAAAGGTGGGAGAAGAGTAAGGAAAAATTAAAAAATAAAATAAAGATGGAGGTAGAGAAGGGAAGAACTGAGAAAAAGGAAAAAGAAAACTAAAGCAAGTGTTAAGTGACAAACACAACTGCAGCAGAGAAACACAACATACTCCACCGGATCGTGCAGTGCCGTCCATGAATGGGTGGGATGGGCGCTAATGATTATGGTCGAGGTGGGGTGGTGTCAGGTTCC